GCGTTGCTGATCACAATCTTCTTCACCACAATCGCCATCATTGACTTCATCGACATCATCGTCATCGTCAGAATCATCCTCGTCGTCATCATAGCTCTCATCACCATCAGCAGCGGCGCCGTCATTCTATTTAATCTGCATTTGACAAGACAGGTCTGCCGATGATGCCTTCATTCCAGTGCATGTGCATTTGTCGGCCAAACAGAGCACCCGGCACAGGAGTCGCAGGAAGCGCCAAAGCGACGGCGACTGCGCTTCAAGCAGCAGGGCCCTTATGCGGACACGACGCAAACATGGCTTCGTTGCGTAATATGCAAAACCAAGCAGCCTTTCCTCTCTGCTCATGTTCCGTTGCATCAGCCTCAACACCTTGGGTTCACGGCAAGGATGGCGATGATGGCCTGATCCTCAGTTCCGGACCGCCCCGACACAGTCTGTGTCGGAGATCGCCGGCCGTAAAGCTCAATCTCACCCTAAACCGTAAACCCTGAAGCAATGCGGCCGTATTTTGAGTCGCAGTCAGGCCGCCTCCACGAGCCAGGGCCCCGCCTAACGGCAGTGGCAGTAGCAGGAGTAGGAGGAAGAGTTAAGTACGAGTAAAGGATTAGGGGTGGTGTACGGGCTTTGCATATACTAGCTAATAGATAATTAACTATATCACCAAATATCACGAACCACTTGCTATCTAGATTCTAGATCCCCAGCGCCAGGCTACCGCTATCCTAGCGCCAGCACGGGGATTAACGAGCCCTTGGCGCCTCTTGTGGAAAACATACAAATCAATCTAGACCCCAGCAACCCAATATAGGTCCTTTTGTGTAAACTTCGCGGCAGGGTGTTTAGACCACTTGCAGGCGCCTCCAAAGAAGCGGCGCCTTCGCTATAAGCAGCGGGGCCCTTGTGCTGACACGATGCAAACATGGCTTCGTTGCGTAGTATGCAGAACTAAGCAGCCTTTCCTCTCTGCTCATGTTTGTGTTGCATCACACTTTAGGTCAGCTGGCGCTGATTGCCTGATCCTCAGCTCCGGACCGCCCCGACACAGTCTGTGTCGGAGATCGCGGGCCGCGGGCATAAAACTCCCTCAAGCCCTCTATAGCGCAATCTCACCCTAAACCCTAAAACCCTAAGACAATGAGCATTCCAACCCTTGGCGCTTTTGGCGCGGCCGTGTTTTGAGTCGCAGTCAGGCCTCCACCGCGAGCCGGGGCCCCGCCATTGTAATTTTTCTTTTAGGGTTTTTAGGGGCCTTTGTTTCGGGTTTCAGGTTCATTTCAGGAAAGAAGGAGGTAGATGGGGGCTCGTATTGGGATTTTAAGTTGTCGTTGCAGGGCTTCCTTTTTGGGTCTCGCGTATGGCTTTGGGCTTTGGTGAGTTAGGCTTGGCCGATTGAAGGTAGTGGACCCTACAAACATAAACCCTTTGCTTAGGGCTGTTAGAGGTTTCTTTAATCAGGGGTCTCCGTGCATGAGGTTTGCATTGGTTTCACCCTACACCTTAAACTCTGAACATGAAAGTGCCGGATCCCTAAGTTCCAGGGTTCTCGCCAACGGGAGAGGTGAGAGCCCTGGGGCACCGGAAGCCAGTGGCTGGTTCAAACTTTTTCTGAAGCTGTCCTCGCTAAAGCTCACTCCCCAGATTTTCTCTCGCTGGCTCGCTAGAGCTCCTTCCCTGCCCTACAACCCCACAAAGCCTAAACTTGACCCGATGTGCTCCTCCGCTCCCGAAAGTTCAGACCATCGAGAAATCGAAAGGCTGTTCGTCCTTGCGTACAACTTTTGTATCTTGCATTCCGAACTCCTCAAGGCATCCCGCAAGATCAAAAACTCCATCAGGTCCTGAACACTCAATCCTGAACCCAAGCCCCCCACAACCAAAATCTTGACATCCCTCACAAGAGACTCTCAATCCTGGTTCCCGGCTCCGCCTTTACTGTTGCAAAGAGAAGCATTTCGCGCTTGCGAAATCCAAGCCGGCAAGAAAATGCCATCAAAAGCGAGTGCTACCAGCCTTGCGTAAGCATTAGTTGCGTGCAGTATAGCAGCATGTATCAGCATAAAAGCATATGTAAAGAAAAGCCACATGTCCTCAAACCCCGGGGTGTGTAGGCTGCAGAGCGTTGGGGCTTCAAAAGCTGCCCTACCCAGTCCTCCACCTTGCGCAGAAACCTTCCGGCCTTGACGAGAGTCCCAAACCACAAATCCTAAGCCCCCGGTTGAATCCGAAAACCGAAGCCCAAAAATAAAGCCAGAAGCCCAAAGTCATGAACCCAGAACTCGGGACCTCAACAGCCGACCAGGCCTACCCGCAGCCAAACGAGCCAGGCCTTGGCGGGCTTTAGGGTTCAGGGGTTTGGGGTTTAGGGCTTATAGGGGTTTGGGGTTTACAACGGTTTAGGGTTTAGGGGTTTAGGGTTGTAGGGTTTCGGGTTCAGGGTTGGGAACATCAAAACAACTACGACGACGGCGTCGACGACGACTAGTCTTACTACTAACAATAATGATCATAATAGCAGCGACAAGAATAACCACGATGATAACAACACTGGTAATGATAACGATACTGGTGCTGATAATGAGAATCATCATAAATGTAACAGTCCAGTGGAGCAATTAGGTTTTTCGTGTCAATCAGAACACCGATAGCATTCCGAATTCCAATTAGACCGCGGCTCGAAACGACACCCATCAATCGGCGTACTTCGCTCAGGTCTTCAGCAATAGCGGCCAATATGGCATTTGCAGTATTTTTGCAATGTGGACATAGCGCCCAGAGGATGCTTGACATGTCTGGAGCAGTCAGAGAATATCAGGGAATTATCCTGAACCTCGCGTGTTCACATAGCGAAAAGGGTGGATCTGCCTTGGGAACTGACGGCAGCTCTCCGAGTTGGCAGACGGGGAAATTCACGATGCGACCCTGACTGTCACAGCAGTGTCAAATGGCAGCCAGTCCGCACCAACCACTCGAAGATGGAACGCTCTAGTGGTCAAGCCATTCCAAACCCATGCGCGGCCACTCCTTCTACTGCTGCTTCTGTTGTTGCTGCTGGTGCTTCTGCTTCTGCTGCTGCTACTTCAGCTAGTGATACCACACTAATACTACTCTTACGACGACGACGACTACTACTCATGATACTAATGATCGCTTCCGCCGTTTATTAAACCACCCCCCAAATAATGAAAACGCAGTCCAAGAAATTCCCCTGAATTTATCTCACCCTTTTGAAACCTATTTTGAATTGGGGGGGTGTAAGAGCAAGAGCAAGAGCAAGATCAAGAGCCGGAAGAACAGCAAGAGCACGAACCAAGGGCAAGCGCGGGAGTAAGAGCCAGAACTGGAGCATCTGGAGCAATAGCAACAGCAGGTGCAAGAGCAAACTACTTTTACAACAACTACCACTACTAATACTCATACTAATACTAATACTAATACGAATACTAATACTGTTGCTAATAACAATACCAGCACCACCACGACGACTACTACTACTACTACTACTACTACTTCTACTACTACTACTACTACTACTTCTTCTACTACTACTACTACTACTCCTCCTCCTGCTGCAGCTGCTGCTGCTGCTACTCCGACGACGACTACTACTACTACTACTACTACGACTACGACTACGACTACGAGTACTACTACTATTGCTGCTACTACTACTACTACGACGACGACGACTACTACTACTGCTACTACTACTACTGCTGCTGCTGCTGCTGCTGCTGCTACTACTGCTACTGCTACTACTACTGCCACCACCACCAATACTAATGCGAACAACAAACCTCATACGGATTGCGAGCGGGCCTCGATGCCTCGTCCAATTCGTGGGGTGTCACGATAAGAGCTATGAGCAAAGTTTCGCAAGCTTGCCTAGCAGACTGCTGATGCTAACATTCTTGCTGCTGCTTTTGCTGAGGGCAGCCCAATATTCATGGTTTCAACATGCAGCATGCTTGCCAGGTCGTGCCTTCTGCGGGACTGTGGCGCAGTCGTGCAAGAGCAAGATGGCTTGGAAAATGCATCCGGCAGGTTGTCACGGTTTCAGATTCATGATGCCGTCTGTCAACATTGAGGGAATTAAGCTGCAATGTTATTGTAATTGGTCCCGGAGGTTTGAGAATGCGGTTTCACAAGTTGTGTGAGTCGCACGAACACAAGCCGACACCTGTGCTTAAAGTGCTGATCACGCGTTGCTGCTTGTGTAAGTGGTCCAACATCTACCTCAGGTTACCCGCATCACAAGTGAGCTCTGTGTGGACGAACCGTGTGCCCGTGTAACAGTTGAATGCCGGCCTTTCTTTCTTCTATGTTGTTGTTCTATTTCCCGCTTTGGACCTTCCCGGAAAGAACTCTGGGTTTGGCACTCGGTGAACTTTGCCCACCGGCCACAAATACCTTGAGGCCCAGATCCACTCCACTGTCATCCATTGCTGTCTGATTTTTCACTTGTGCTGCTTGTGAGTTGGCTTGGTTTGAATCTGCCAGGGCTCCGAGCTGGCAAACATAATGGGCCCGGATTGCTCATGTGCATGCGGCGTGCATTTGATCGTAAGCTCTCAGCGGAGTGTGCCTTGAGTTTCAATGCATACACCATCCCATGCTCCGATCTCATGCTCGTTGCTTCCGATGGAGATGCTGGAGATGAAGCATGTCGAACCCTTTGCTTGTGGCTCACCAGGGCGGGGTACCAACGAGGTGCGGCGTGTTGTGCGTTGGGGGTTCCACCGGTGGGGTGGGGATCGCGATACGCGGTGCGGCGAGGGGCGGGGCGGGGTTCCGGCGGCTCGCAATAAGGGTGTGGCGCACTCGCTTTAGAAGGTGCAGCACAGCGTGCCCGGGTTGACCTTGTTATTGGAAGCGAAGCAGAAGCCGTGGAAGATCCGCAGACCGCTGCACATCGCTACAGATGCTGTCTTCAAGTTACTGTTTAACAGGGTTCTCGCGGCAGATGCTTGTCGCCGTGTCTGCTTGTTTCATGTTTTGAACCCATGTTTTACTGCAGCCGGGAGAGGCCTAGAAGTTTGGATCGTGTCAGGCGGCCCGTAGACAGCATGGGGCTTCATCGTCGCAGCTCATCCCCACTTCTGGTGGGGATTGGAGTCGTGCTACTGTGGCAAACATGGCAGAGCCAGCAGCACGTCTTCCTCGCAGAACGGGCGCAGCCGCGTCTTGAGCGCACAGGCGTCGTCCCTGATTGCCAGGGGAGGGAGAAGGAATCGCAGCTTTGCAGGCGGAACATGTTCATGGTCCTCGCTGCTGGAGCTGGACAGGCGGAGTCAGCTCAGGCTGCGTCCCCCAAAACCATCCTGGTTGCCGGAGCTACCGGCCAGACCGGCAGGCGGATCATCGAAAGGTTGGCCAAAATGGGTGATGTGTCGGTGATCGGCGGAGTGCGAGACACTGCGAAAGCAGAGAAAGAGCTGGGTAAATCCTCGATTGCCATTCGAGGAGCCATGGTAGACGAGGTCAAGGCAGTTGACACGAAAGGAGTGTCTTTGAAGCCTTTAGACGTCACCAAGGATTCTGTTGACAAGCTGGCAGAAACTCTGGTTGGCTGCAATGCACTCATTATTGCCACGGGTTTCGTCCCGTCCAATCCCTTTGCCATGGGGGCCGAGGCGCATGCCGTCGATAACTTGGGAACCAAGGCATTGGTAGATGCCGCCAAGAAGTCAGGCGTTAGCAAAATCGTGCTGGTGTCCTCTATCTTGACGAATGGCCGAGCCTGGGGTCAAGAAAACAGCCCGGGTTTCCAAGTAACGAACGCATTCGGCAACGTGTTGGATGAAAAGTTGGAGGCAGAGAAATACCTGCGTGCATCAGGCATCGACTACACCATCGTCCGACCAGGAGGTCTGAAGTCCGCTGCACCGGAGACGAACCTGCTTCTAGGAATCCACTAGCAGCTAGGAGCTGGTAGGCTTCGTTTATGGTTACCAGGTCGAAGTTGAAAAATAAGTGAACCCAAAATTAGTCCGTGACAGTCTCCAACGTCCAGGTTCGTTGGCAAGGAGGACACCCTGAACAGCGGAGAGGTCTCCCGAGATCTAGTTGCAGATGTCAGCATCGCGGCGGTGTTTGACGGCAAGGCTTCCAACAAGGTTGTTGAGATCATCGAAGACGACAAAGCGAAGTCACTGTCACAAAGTGAATGGTTCGTCTTGTAGGTTCACCTGCCATGTGTGTGTGTGTGTGTGTGTGGGGGTTGTTGAGATGCATATTGATTTGTTTTTCGCTGCTTCAGTGGGTACCACTTGAAGGTGCCATATCTCTGGGAAGAGCCCGGTATAGCTTTTCAAAGATGGACCTGCGCGGGTCCGGATACCGACTACACCCGATGCGTTTGAAAATAAGTGCGAAAACCTTGCAAGCGGCTAGCTTCAGCGGAGTGGGTAGCCAGTCTATTCCGTGCAACTCCCATTATTGCAGCTTGCAAATCGCAGCAGGCTGCCCAAGTGTGCCCGTATGCGACCATGATCACTTGAAAGAGTGAAGCCTAAGCCAGCAGCGGTTTTTCATCACCCTCTGAGTGCATGTTAGTTGCTTTAGCTCAACCAGTGATTGCATCGTATCAGATGGAGCGGAGCCATGGCCGAAACGAAGGGAGGCCCTTGTGTGCCGTCAGGGACGGAGAGATGCATTGCACCCACCTGACCGCAAGTTCAGGCGTGTGTCGGCCGTCTCGCTTGTGGTCTTGCTGGCGCTGGTCCGAGACTTGGAAGCTACTCCTGCAAAAGGTAAGATTAAGAGGCCAAGAGGATCTGCGTGCACTTGGAAACAGAGCAGTAGAAGCTGTGGCTGAAGCTGTGGCCGGTGTTGTTCTGGAGGCGAGGCCCTGGGCATCCTTTACCATCGGTCGTCGAGCGGCGTGCCTGAGCAGCACATCACGAGGTCTGCGAATACTTGCAAGACGTGTCGGGTGGTGTGCCGCCGTGACTTCAACCTGACGAGTTCTGGACAGTCTGGACTTCACCCTGGTTCAAAGAGTTTTGCAGTTCAGCGAGGTTTCGCCTGGTTCCGCCTGCGCTCGCCGCCGAGGTGTGTCAGAATCGCAAGCTGAGCCTATGAAAGGGATCTCCGCCTGTCGCACTTCCATGGCAGGTGAGCAGACCTGACGGCTTCAGCTACACCATGCTGTCAGCAGGCGCCTGCACCTGGTCTGTTCACAGAGGCGCGTTTCTTGTGGTCCGTTCAGGGTCCGACGGCGTCTCACCACGAGATGGCCCTGTCCTTTTGCTGCACGTTGGGTTGTATGACTCGAGCCCGTGAGGCAAAAAAGGGCGTAGCCGAGAAGAGATAAGAGCAGGGTCCTAGCCCAGTGGTGCCCTCCTTCTTCGGAGCGGCCTCCGATCTTGACAGAGGAGGATGTTGAGGGTTGGCTTTTTATTGGTTCATGCATGTACAGAAGATGGCGGGTTGGGAATATTGTCCCGCTGCATGCTGGTTGCCAGTCGCGTAAGACACACTCCGCCGAGGTTCGCTCATATGCCAAGGTTTGGATAAAGTTTCAGACTCAGCACCAAAGCACTCAAGATCAGATGCTGCTCGAGGGCTTCATCATCAAACCCTACATGCCTTCTTAACCCCGGAAAGACCCTCAGCCGACACCTTCCGAGGTTCACCGGTCACGTAGACGGCTTTGACGGGCCGGTGTTCGACTCCTCGGCGCTGCGCGGTGCACGGCGCCCGGTAAAGAAGGCGACCGGAAATCGTGTGCAACATCAGGGTTGAGGTGATGATAGCGTGAGTGACCCACTGCACCAGGATTATGTGGAAATCGAGTGCAATACCGACGACACATTCGCTGCGGGCATGTGGGAGGCTCCACTGTCGCAATCGTGTTTTCTGTTCATGCTTATGAACAGTAGCTGACTGGACTTGCTTATACTAGCCAGAGGCGTTACATTTGATGAAGGTCGGGGAGAAGGCGGGATATCTCTGCAGGGACATGATTGAAGCCAGCCCGTTGGCGGACTGTAGCCTGCTGCTGCTGTCCATGATCCAAGACGCGTCGGGTCCTCGAGTTTTGCAGGGACGATTCGTACAACCACCTGGTCTCAGTTTTGGCGGGGGCAAAGCATCCTTCCAAGGAGTCCTGTGCTCATTGCTAAGCCTGCTGCTGGGATTTGGATGATCTTCGGATCTAGCTTGGTAGTTTGCTCTGCCCACGCACCCTTGCTTACACTGACTTCCTCATTTCTTGCCTGGCAGCTTTCGGTTGCATCTCGAGATGTCCGCCTAGCCTTAGTGTCTGCAGGAGACGAGGATTCCGAGGTGAAGACGGTGCCTGCAGGCGCCACTCTGTACTACGACGTGGAGCTTGTGAGGATTATCCGGCCTTGAAGGCTTGAACAGGAGCTGCCAAAGTGCGGTGACTTTCGCTTCATAGCTGTTGTCTCAATGAGGATCCAGTGCAGGGGTCCTTCCAACAAGGATCGTGCTGTTTAGGGTCTGCACTTGGCATAGCAGCAGGCGCGACGTGAAAAGGTGAGCTCTGTTTGGAAAGGCGGCAAGTTTCTGAACCTCTTAGGTGGCATGTGCTCGCAGTCTCCGGGCTCAGAGGTTACTCCTTCGTTGTAGGCCCGTGAAGCCCCTGCGCACTGCATGTTGTCACAGAGGCACTGCAACGCATCACGCGCAACCTTGAAGCACGGCAGAACACCGCTTCCTCCGCGGGAGCCCTTCGGGGTTCCCAAGTCTTCGAAGGATGACATGTCATGTCGGGATGCTCGCGCCTGGCACGGCAGCGCGGGAGGCCAGGGTCTGCTTGAAGCACTTCTGATCGAGAGGGTAACCGGAACCGTCGTCACAGACACAAAAAATCGCTGCTTGAAGCTCAAGCATCGGAATCTCCTCTTGAAAAAGCAGCGAACGGCAACGTGATCTGCTCCAAACGAGGTTACATGCGCAGGCAAGCAACTGCGCAAGGGCGTGCTCTTCAACAACAGGGTGTTGCGATTGAAATTTCCCCCAGGCAGTCCAGACGTGGAAAGACATGCTTCTCATCTAGCTTTCTCGTGCCGTGACGGTGTGATGATAGGGGCGTTGCAATCCGTTTTTCTCGTTGGACGCCTCTTGCTTTGCCGGAAAGTCCTCCTGCGGAAAGTCCTCGTTTTCTGTTCTGCGATGGTCTGCTTGGGGCCAGGATCGGAGCGGCCTTGTCCCGACCAGCTCAGGCCTGGAGCGAGACAGAAAGCACCCTTGTGGTGACCTTTTTTTGTTGAGAGTTGGAGTTAGAGAGGTCAGGTCGTGGTTTGGAGGAATGGCCTCGGAAGCTCGGAAGCCGCAGCTCTCAGGTTGGCAAGCTGCTGCGCGACTGCCGCACGACCTGGAGGCGCCGCGCCTGCGGGATGCTGCGGGAAGCTTGGGAGGGAGGGGGGAAATGCTCGGCGCAGGATCCACCTCGAGGGTCCTGGTGGCCCTGCCCGGATTGAAGTTCGCTCACCGCATCTCAGCAGCAGAGATCCGGCGTGGCTTCTGGATGAAGTTGATTCGGCAGCGCAGGTCTTACGGAGACAAGAAGCTCTTTCGTGGCACCGTGCGTGTCTTGCTCAGATGCGTGTGTCTTTCGGCTACTTTGTGTATCCAGCCCCTCAAGAATGACGGCCCAAGCATGCTTGTCATGAAGCGAAAATCCGAACGGACGGTGCCGAATCTCCGGCGCCACTGTCTGTGTCTACTGGTTTGTGGATCGCTCGCACTCTGCTCGCACGGCCGCGGCACAGCGGGACACATCCTCTGCTCGGTGAAGCCGGCGGCTGCTTGCACTGCTCCCTCCAACCTCGAGCAGCCTATTCTCGCGAGGTCTTTCCGGCACAGTTGCCCGAGAAGGGGCTTTTGCAATGACGATGGATCTGAACATTGCCTGCGGCGTCCCTTTTTGGTGCTCGCCGTCTGCGCGGGCTGGGGCCTTCTCAGCACACCAGCCAGGGCGTTGTCTCAACCGCCTCCCTTCAGAATCAAGGGCTCCTCCAAGCCGATGCCGGCTGTCGGTTACGGCACCTGCTGCCGAGAAAGTGCGCAGGGTCAGCCCTTGATAACATCGACGAAGGCATACCTAGCAGCCGGTGGGAGGCTTATAGACACCGCGCAAGGTTATGGCAACCACTTGGACATAGGAGAGGCCATCCGCCAAAGTGCGGTTCCCAGAGACGACTTGTGGGTGACTTCTAAAGTTCGTGTGCGAGCCTGCAACACTGCAGCAGATGTCGTAAGGGCGGTGAACAAGAGTCTGGAGCAGTTGGGCCTGGAATACCTTGACCTCATGCTGCTTCATGGCGGGGACGGTTGGGGGATAGGTCCTGAGCGGGATGAGGCCCTTTGGCGTGGCTTGATCGAGACCCAACAATCTGGCAAGGTACGAAGTATCGGGGTTTCCAACCACAACCGTGAGGAAGTTGATCGCCTCATCTCCAGCACCGGGGTGACTCCGGCAGTTAATCAGCTGGAGTTTCATCCCTGGGTCCCGGCCGAGACCCGTGATCTGGTCCGGTGGTGCCAGGGCAAAGGCATTGCGGTGACGGCCTACGGCTCTCTCGGTGGTTCTCAGAACAAGGCTCGGGGAGAAGCTGCGACAAAGATTGCAGAGAAGTATGGGAAGACCAGCGCGCAGGTCCTGCTGCGATGGGCCTTGGACCAAGGTGTGGCGGTGATACCAGGGGCCAGCAGCGAGGAGCACATCCGTGAAGACTTGGACCTGACGGGCTTCGCGTTGACGTCCGAAGATGCAAAGCTCCTGGAAAGCGTGGAAGGTCCGACGAACTTCACGCGATGGCACAACTGCAAGACCGGCTGCGCTGCCTGAACCCCCACTTCAGGATGGCTGTAATGCTGTGAGGCTTTGTCTTTACAGCCTGCCTGCTGATGGTCTAGAATTGTCTAGAGTCTAGATTCAAGGTGGCACCAGGAGGATTGGCATGGATCGGCACGACGAGCTGGCCATCGAAAAGTGCGCTTGAGCAACTCCGGGGATTTTGCTGTGGCAGTCACGGGCCCAGAAGACCCCGAGGTCGAATCAAGAGTTCTCCTGGGCTTGCATCGGATGTACAGGCCGCGGATGTGTTGGGGATGGAGAGACTTAGCCGTTGCTCTGTTGATGCAGTGATCTCGGTGTCCCGAAGATGGGGTCATCCGGGCTCCGTAGCCTGTGCTGTGCTCGGTGCTTGGTCACTGCACCTACAATCTGTGCATTCTGTCTTTGCAGCCAGGCTTTGGCCAAGCTGCCCCTGCCACGGGCCAACGTGGACTTGACAGGTGCTGTGGGATTCTAGGAGACACAAGTCCAGCTTCTTGGTTGTTTGAGTTGCAGGCAGTAGCCTCGAGGATAGAGCGCAGTATAGGCACACAGCCGGCCTTACGCTGATCCGACCATGACGGTGTGCATCTTGAGCCTCACAGGTCAGCTTGCGAGGTTAGATCCGGAACCAGGAGCCGATGCATCCCGGAGCATCTCAGAGACTTGAACTAACTGAAGCTCCTTGTAGCACACGGACAGTCTCTCACCAGATCACGGCCGCCAGGACTGCAAAATGTCAGCTGTGGTGTCGACCTCGTGGCAACCGAGGCGCAAACGAGAATTTCTGAAGCCCCTCCCGCCTCCGCTGGCAAAGCAGGACTTTCCCATACTTTGTCGGCGACTGCGTCGTTTGCCTCTTCGACAACTGGCCGTGGCCGTGCCGAGGGCCCGGGCTCCAGCTCCAAACACGCGCCTGCCCGCCAGCCGCAAACAGCTCAGGTCACCCGCCTTCTCCGCAGCACTGACCCGTCGCATGCCACCAGAGCAAGCAGGCAGAAACCGACGTGGGCCCTGGGCACCGGGATGTTAGTGGAACACTGTCGTCGGGCTGCTCACAGGATCAGCGAGCGCGCGGCTCTGGGCAGCCGTGTCCCGGCGGGTGCGACTGCACTCACTCTTGTGTCACCAAACATATTAGGCAATTTCTTTCACCAATATGTTTAGAGCAGAGGGACCCGAGGCAGTTCTGGGTTCGTGTCCAAGATGCTTTGCAGGTCGTCGTCAACTCTGCTCAGCTCCCGCTGTCGCCGGGGCGCTCAAGAGTGCAAGTGCTCGCAGTGCTCGCAAGAGCACGGTCAGTGCACTTCCCAAGATGCGGGAAGAACTTCAACACGCCAAGCTCACACTATATGCGAAGCAGGAATTATTACCACAACAGGGACAGGCGAGTGTTCATTATATCAAATTATATCATTTTTGTGGTGCGGCACGTACCTTCAACAAGAGTCTACAAAGAACAAACGCTTTGTCACCAAGCCCTGTTGCACCTGATAAAACCATGTCAAATCCTCAGACGGCAGTATAAATCGCCCTTGAAGCACACGTATAAAAATACAAGAAAAGACCCTGATGACAACCCCCAAATGGAGTTGCGCTCAGGTCGCTGGCCTTCGCTTTGCCTCGGCTTCAGAGCCTGGGACACCTGGCCAAGGTCTCCGCTCTCAGCAAGGCGCCTCAAGGAGCAAGCGCTCTGAGTGTGTTTAGGGTTTATGCCTAGGGCAGCTCAGCAACAGCCAGCTGAAATACAGGCACAGTCTTGTTTTTTTTTCACGAGCCTCAGGGTTTTTTCGGCTTTAGGGCTCAGGGTTCTTCGGGTGTTGGACTTCGGGCTTTGGGGTCTCGGCTTCAGGAGTTTAGGGTTTGAGGTTTGGCGTTACCCGGGCTTTTGGTAGCGCGCAGTAGATTCTTGCAGTCTGAGTTGGCAAAAAAACATTATACTGTACTGTAGTCTCACGTACCACCTGCATTGTATCGCAGTGCATCATAGCATGTTATGCCATGTTAGATGGCATGATATCAAGTATGTCATGGGCCACGGTTCTGACAGCGCCAGGTGGTCCGAGGCCTGGCCAGACAGGCCCAGTCCTCCTTGCTACCGCGGCAGGACGCTTTCATTGGCTTGGACTCCACTCTTCCCCTGAACCCTCCCAAGATCCGAAATACCCTAAAAAGCCGAACATCCTGTACATCCCCAAAGCCTGACAATACCCCAAGCCCAAAACCCGAACACCCCAAAGTCCGAGTCGGCCGAACAATGCTTCTGTTCATGTTTGTTATTCTTTTTCATGCTCAAGTGCAATGTATCAACACCATAGCAGACTGGATGCCGTTGTAACGGGCTGGATCCCAGAACGAACGCCTGCCAGTTGCAAGTGATTTTGAAGCTAGGGAGGTGTAGGGCTTCGGCATCGCAACCCTGAAGATCCAAGACACCCCATGCCAAATTAGCTACACTCCCTTCGGAGCTCTGCTTCGCGATGGCGGCACGGAGCTTTCCTCGCATCTCTCAGGCTGGAGCTTTTGTGCACCTCAGGCATAGACATAGGCTTCGTTAAGACTGGGAGGGCCAGCTTTGTTTCGAACGTCTCGAGGTTCGTGCTTACGTGTCCGAGAGTGACGACAAGCAGCATGTGCAAGGCCGCGGGCTCAGAGCCACAGGTCACATGAGTCAATGTGGCGAGGCCGCGCATGCTGCGACCCCTGGCTGGATGATAACTCAGGTGCGGACTGCCACGATGTTGCTGACAAGCACTGGATAAACGGCAATCTGCCTTTGGATGCCAAGTCCTCAGATGCAGCAGAATGTGTCACGTTTTTCGGCGGTTCTAGTCATAGTGTTGAAAGAAAGGATCTACGAAAGTGGTTAAGCGTCGCGATCGCAGGACTAGCACCGTAGGAACACAAACTTTGGAATGCAGGTGCATCTACCACTATTAATTGCTTTTACCACTATTGACTGAACTCTGCTGTCCGAGTCCGGTTTGGGCAGTCGCTACAGGTTTCGGCAATTTGTTGCCTAAGGGGCGGCCTTTTTAGTGTGTTTGGTTCCGGTTTGGCCTCATGCTTGCACCAAGGGAAGGGCAATGGTTCTGTCGTCCTTTTGTGGACCTGTCCGCAAGAGAGTTTATCGTTTATGGGAGCATCCTACTGTCCTACTGTCTGCCTGCTGCTTTCGCAGTTCGTTTGGTGCTGCAGGTTCAACTTCAGGGATGTCATTCTGGCAGTTGAAAGCAACCTTGAGGATGAGTTGCTGCCCATCGCGAATCCAATGTGACTTGGCTCTCTCTTGGTGTAGGGGCTTTCCTACAGGCGATGAGCGAAAATACATTTCGGGGAGTCCTTCGTGACGGGGCTTATCTCGACCGGCAGCCCCAAATGATCACGTGCAGAGCCTTGTGCGGAGGTCTGTCCATCCGCCCTACAAGCGCCACCGCAAATCTTGGGGTATCAATGCCATGGGCAGCATGGTTGTGGAGGCCAATCAAAACTGTGCAGCTGCACGTCGCAGTGAGCAGTTTATGCAAGATTTCAGGGAGAGTTCTTTGGTATCCACGGGTGTCTTTCTTTGTTGGAGGTGGAAGCCGAAGATGGCACCACCGGCGTCGGCGTGACCATTGGCCGTAGGCTCGGAATCAGATTTGGCTTGGCTGGACTCCGACTGCTGAGCGAAAGTAGATGCTATCTAGTTCAGTTTAGGCATGCTTGAGATTTGGTGCATCTCCTTGTGTTTTCGTATTTTCGGTAATCTCCACAAGCACGCCTGGCCCCCAGGCCCCAGAACCACACCGACGCCCGTCCTGAGTGGAGAGACGCAATGGTGATCACGCCAGCACACGAAGCCCCCGAGCTTCGAGGCATATGCAGCACTGCAGGTGGCCAGGTCGAAGAAGTCGTAGAGCAAGCGAGGAAACGGCACCCACAGAACATGACATCACCAGCTGCGGGAATTAGGCTTTGGCAAGCAGTGCCAGGACTTTTTTTGGTCTTCTTCGAAAAGGCTGTGTTTTTTCCCGACAAAGGTGGTGAAGCGGGATGCTACATCGTCGAGCACCATCTCAGCCGCTTCATTGAGGGCCAGGCGCACGCGGACTCCCTAAGGATTTGTCTCGAAACCCCGCCTTGTGCTAGGACCCGCGAAATGTTGAGCTCATGTGGGACCAGATGTTCCGTGCTACGGTGAACTACGGCCGCAAAGGCGGGTTTCTGCCTTTGCCATCTTTCTTTTCTTAGCGTTGCGTGGTGGGTCCTGAGAATGAGGCCTGCCTTTGCAAGCGATCTCGGCTGTCGATCTAGCTCTCTGGGATCTTCTGGGAAAGCTTCGTCGGGAGCACAGAGACTGTGCAAAGAAGCTTTGTCGGGAGAGCGTGTGTGTAAGGCCATGAACCGGTCTACATGCGCGGCCCCTGGTTAGGCAGCAACAAGTACTTCCAGCGGCTGACTGCCCCACCCGAGGCTCTTAGGCGGGGCTACAAAGCCCTTCCTCCCCATGTACACCACAACTTCGCGACCAGATGCGGGCGGCTGAGCTGTTTCAGCTCAACGCTCTGGCTTCTGCCGTGCCTTTTTTATCTGTCCGGAGGTTGGGAAGCAGCTCGGCTTCGTCGGCTGCAAAGTCCCATGCCCCTTCGGACCGGCTGATGGGCACGAAGGCTTCGCGAAGAATGCCGGTGCCTCAGCGGAAAACCCACGGAAAGTGTCAAACCGGGCTTGAGTCCGGGGTTTGCAGTGGCGGCGAAAGCCAGGATTTCGCATCACTCACCATCATCGCTTCCTGCAGCATTCATCGTCATCACATCGTCACGAGGAAGTATGCTGGAAAGCCCTGCTCCCTGTCATTCAAGCCGCCCTCGTCCACCCAGTGACCACTCATGCGTATTCCTCGCTCATGCGCTCACTGACGGGCTCACACACCCACGAGCTCCGGGCATAGACTCATCCACTCATGCCATCATGCTTGCCAGTGTACTGCCGTCGCGCTCGCTCCACTCGTCCACTGCCAGTGCTACTCTCGCTTTGCACCGTGTCCCGTTCTCTTTCGCCGGCCTTGGCTGGTCACCACAATTTGATCAAACGCATAGACCATGTACTGAGACACACAGGCTCGCACACCAACATCATTGCCAGTGTTAAGCCGCAAGGTCAAATACCTGAAGAAGCCGGGAGGCCCAGCAGACCACTCTCGAATGAGTGTCTTGAGTGTCTTGTTGTTTTTTCGGCCCCTTATTCAGAACATGCTGCTGTGAGAGTGAAGGAGTGCGCCGGCTGTCAAGCTGCTAGTTGTAAGGTGCCGGCAGGATGTTGGCGAGGACTGTCTGCGTGGGGGTGCGTGCAAGGGTCAGACAGGCAGATGGCGCAACCATGAGGGTGAGGACTCTTGATGGCGTGAGGCGGCTGAACAGAATCCTTCGCACTCTTGCTGTTGCCTTGGAACTGTTTAGATGTTTGGTGAGGGGTTCCCGCTCATGCTGGACTGCTACATGGCGCTGTCAGTGCCGTCGACCCAGCTTGGCAGTGTTCTGCTTCGGAAGTTCCAGTCGATGCTTGGGCTGGTGTTGGCACGGGATGAAAAAGGATGCAGTGGATGCTTGTAGGTCCGGTGGTGAACCCGTCAAGGCAGCGCCCCCCAATCCCTTGTACCTCTTCAGGCCCTACAGCATCTCGCTTGCGCGGCGAATCTCAGAACCGGATCTGCATTTCACTTGGATGGAGGAGACGGTTGCCTTGCTGGGTTTTGTTTTGTGGACTTGAGATGCAGAGGAGTTCCTTCCGCCAGACTGCTATGACGGCTACGAGGATGTCATGAAGGCAGTTGGAAGCTTGGTGGCTGACTAAGTACGAGGCTACAAAGGCTTCTGAGGTTCAGGCCATGAAACGCCTCCTGCAGAAGCGTCCCTGCGAAACGCCCAGGAAACTTGGGCCTGATGCTGACAACAGGCCATGGAGTCAAGGGTTCTTATGAAAGGTACCTGTGATAGCTGCATGCTACTGTTCATATTTTCTGATTCTTGTTAGTTTTTGTCATCGTCACTGAAACTATTGTTCTCGTTCTTGCTATAAGACGACTATTGCCAATAACAAGCACTCTTTTTTTTTATTCGGGTTGGACTAGTAGTGTTCGTATTGCTATTGCTATCGTTAGATTTTGACATTCAGCTTGCAACATGGATTCCCCGGGCCATCAGCAGACGTGCAGCACTATGTAAAGTGCGGCTTGGCTTGCCAGGTGAGCATGAGTATACCCGCTGGGGTTTCAAGCAGCTGATTGACAGGCCGCGGAAACATACTCCCCCATGTCGGACACGGCACGACGCATCCAGCCTTTGCTGCTCTGTTACACTGTCGGTAACTTTCAGCTCAGTGGCAGCTCTTGCCTTGAATGTTCGATACCCTGGCTCAAGCATGAGGATCTCAGCAGCACGCCAGTCGAGCGGGTGTCTGCTGTTTAGTCGTTTTGGTCCCGTCGCATGCAAGACGACGGCGATGCTCTCGCACTTAGCTTCGTGGCCAAGCGCATAGAGCCAAAAGACACTGCCGACGTGGCCGACAATGCGGAGGCACTGGCAGCCTCGCGGGAAGCTGCGCAGGAAGCCTGCGCCCGTTTGAAGTGCAGTCCCAAGGACGTACTAGGCTGCTGAGCCGCGAACCAGCAGATTGTGTTCGTCTTTTTCGTAATTTCTCTGCATTGTGTCTGGTTCTCTTTGATGCCTACCGGCTGGTCAGGTGTTGGTGCTTCCTCTGTTGTCGTTGGAGTCCAGCTTGGTAGAGCCAATGCTGAGCAGAGCCTTGCCGCGAAGTTTCTCGTCAGCGGAGCTGCCACTTCGACACGGTGCCACGAAGCGCAGATGCTGCTTGCTGCCGAGAGCCCGCACATTTTGAGATGTCACGGTGACCTGCTCGCAAGTACAAGGGGGGTTTCTGTCATGTTGGAAGACAGGCATGCCAGCGGGTTTACAAGTCCCCAGGTCTTTTTGAGGCAGAGCTGGACCAATCTCCCAAGATGCGTGGCACTTTTCGGGTCATCATGGTCTCGCATAAGAAGAAGGCGAAGGCTGGGTGGGATCATGGCAGAGAGTAGGTGGCCAAGATCCTGCATATATGCGAAACAGAGCGGCGTTGTCTCAGCCTTAGGTGGAGAGCATGAACAAGTTCGCATTTCTGTTGACAGACGCTTGAACGCATTAGGGACAAATGCTGCGGACGAGCCTAATCCACGTCACATTTTCTCTGGCCACCTCGGCGGCTGGGGGGAAATGGCCACCAACGGCCTTGCGGGTCATCGGAATCTTCTCCAGGGCTTTCCTGAAGTCCTAGTACTGTACCTGGATTGATGCAGTCTGTTTCGCATGAGAGCTTTCAACATGAAAGGATGCTTGCGGAAGCTAGCTTCATCTGGGCGAGACAGCCGATGCAGAACAACAGTGCAAGCCACCCAACCTTGAGGCTTCACCGGTGATGCCTGAAAGCGCGAGTGCTAGGTGAGCATTCGAGGCATGCAATCCTGCATGCACGCGAGGCCGAAGCAGGCCAAAGCTTCAAGCATGGGCGAAGCAGAGGTAGGAAGCCAGCAAGGGGTCGTGCGCATTCGTTCACACACGCGAAAAGCGCTTTCTCAAAAGCCTCGTTCAAAGTTGTTTGGGAGGGGTTCTGGAGTTGCTCGATATAAGCTGTGGGTTTCGTGTGCAAGGTTTCTCGGTCTTTGGTCTTTGAGTTGAGTTTCGCCTTCAAGTCTTCAGCAGGATTTGGAGTTTCAGAGTTTGCCCTAAACCCTTCCTCGGCTCACAGAATCTCTGATTTTGTTCCTAGAGTCCTGAGAGCGCGCGCGTGCGGCTGAGTGAGCCTTGAAGTGCGATGCCCGAAAGAGGTGCGGGGCCCCGCAGGGGCCTAAGACTTTTCGTCACTACCAAGAGGAAGGAACTAACTGATCCAACGTCGCGTTCATGTGAGGACAGATGTGACTGCAGCCTCTACAGCCTTGCGCAAGCGACCTCTTTCAAGGAGCCAGCAAATTTCGCTTTCACTGCGTCGCATTCATGACAAGAGATCGAATTGAAAGCGTTGTTCTCGCGAAGGAATCCGAAGCCAGCTTTGCTATCCATTCGGCTCTCCGTGGTCTTGAGCACCTGCACGCTCTCGGAATGGTGCACCGGGACGTGAAGGATGCCAACATCATGGTCTCACGCCAAGTTGAACCAGGGTCCCCAGACGTCTTTAGACGCCAATACCAGAGTCTGAAGGCTAGGAATCTGAGGACAGGGGCCAAGGAGAGCTTACATAGCTAAAGGCGTACAGCCCATGGGGTAACAGATGGCAATGTGCAGGAATACTCAACCCGTAGAGTCTGAAGCAATGAGTTCTTATCCAGTACTTTAAGGCGAGGCATCTTGGGAACTATGTAAACGGGGCCACGTACACAGACTGATCATTTGTTTGGTACAGGCGCCTGTGCCTTGCCATGTTGCAAACAGGAACAGCTTTCTGACGGCAGCTTCCGTTGGAAGTCACACGTGCCTAGTGCGTGTATACGGAGGGGAGGCATGCTTCTGCCAACACAATCGGAAACAGAAGAAGACACGCACAGACAGCAGTGTCGTGCCGACATCAACCCAATTCGCGGATCCGTGCGGGAGTGGGCGTGGGCAGCCCTTACTTTTGACTGCGAAGAACAAGAAGGATGGAGACAGAGAGAGGACTAAAAGACGGACAGGGAAGCATTACATGCAGTGCGGTGTTTCCCGGTCGAGGTCAACAGAGGTGTGGGATCATGTTGCCCACCTGTGTTACCTAGGTGCAAGATGCAGGACGCCGAGTGGTGTTGGCGGATTTCGACTTGGCAGCCTACCTCCCAAAAGGTTCCGGGGAGGGGGGGAGCTGGGGGAGCTGTGGGAGCTAGGGTGGGAGGGGGGGGGGGCGGGGTGTCATTGGAGAGGGGGTTGAGCATAGGGAGAACAGGACAGGTGAACTATGTACCGGCTGGGTGTTCTGACGAACCTGTGCTTGCGACAGGTGCAGAGACAACAAAATGGACATGTGGAACGCCTGGCTGCTCGGAAAAGTGGGTTGTGGGTACATGGGTTCGGCACAGGGTAGAGAATCCGCAATCGTTGTGCTCTCAGGATTTCTGGCTCCAGAAGTCTACAGCAAAGCAGAGGCTGGAGCGAAGGCCGATATCTTCTCCTTGGGTGTGGTGCTCTACTACCTCTTGACGCAGAGCCAGGGGCTTGGTTTAGTTTAGGGTCTACGGTTTTATGATTATGACAGCGCTGGTTGCCTTGCAGAGCTGGTAGTGCCTCTCTGGACTTATTAAGTGAGGTCATGCTTTCCTTCGGGATTCGCCGCTTGAAACCGAGATCGCCACCAAGAGCAGCAGGCAGGGTGTAGGAAGCTGCTCGCATCTGGCCTGTCCGACTGGTTCCAGCCTTTCCCACGTGAGTGTGCTTCCCTGGGTCTTGTGAATGTGGCAGTTCGTATAAACGGGAAGCCAAATTCGACTGAGTAGGCTGCCAGTTGACGCCGACCTGCTTCGTGTCTTCCGTAGCGAGGATGCATGCGGCCTGGTGCTTCTCGGACCGAATGAGCATGTCGCCAGCAGCAGCAACAGCAGCAATGCTTCATCCTTTTTGGTCACTGTTGTAGCCTACGTGGTCATCTTCATCGTTGTCCCTCTCTGCTGTTTCTGTTACTGTTGTTGCCGTTGCAGTTGCTGTTGCCGTCGTTGTTGTTGTCGTCGTCGTCGTTGTTGTTGTTGTTGCTTCTACTGTTCTTGTGGTGGTAGGTTTCACCTGCTCTGACATCTTTAAAGCCGGTGCTGTAGCAGTCAGACTTCGCCTTCGCCCGCTATGAGCAGAGCCCGCTCGCTCGTTGTTGTGGCCGTTGCTGTTGTTGCGGCTGTGGTGTTGTTGATGGTGCAAGCTATGGTGGTGCAATATAGTCCTTTACCCTGCTGCTGTGCTTCTCGAAGGTTCTGGCTGCTTGAGCCCTTGGTGGAAAACCGTGCTTCCGCTTCGGAAGCATTAGAAAGCGAGTGGTTCTTCTTTCAAGTATCCCGGCTGCATGGCGCTCTGCTTATTTCGTATGTATGTACGTATGTGTATATTATATATAATACACACATGCAAGCATACATACCATGCATACTTGTACGTGTACAGGCTGTATAGGTACAAAAAATGTCCCGTCCTCTCAAGTTGGCCCCGGTTTGTCCCAAGGACTCGGGTGGTCTTTCCCGGCTTCTGAAGCAGAAGCTCCCAAGGAATTCGTTGCTTCAGCGGCGGCTGCACTGCATAGGGCTGGAACCTGCAGGTTTGGGATTCATCCTGCCTAGGGCCTAGGGGTGCCATTTGGACCAGGAGTAGGGCCAAAGATCAACCCACCAAAGATCAACAGTTCTCGGGGCTCAGCACCGAAAGGCCGCACCGAAAAGAGAGCAGGAAGAGTTTTCTCGGAGTTTTCTCTGCCCGGAGCCGAGCCGAGCCCTCCTCCAAGGTCAGACCCGGACTCTTCAACGTGCGAGTCGTCCTCTATGGCGGTGTCCAAGCGGGCATCCTTGCCAGTTCCCGGTGCCAAGCACAAGAAGGTGAAGAAAGCATTCCTGGATCCGCCAGCGTCGCCGGAGCCCAGGTCCTCATTCGGTATGTTCAAATCTCTGAGTTCATCAGCTCGACGAGCAATCTCGACGGCTTCTAGTGCGCTGACAGCGCTGGTTGGCAACAACAAGGCCAAGCAAGCAAGGGTTCATCAGGATCCTGACTTTGATGCGATATTCGTGCCCTGAAGATGCTGCATCCGCAGGTGCCGCATTTTTAGTGAAGTTTGAAGTGGACAAGGCTTCCATCTTGAGTATGTGCCTCCGCTGCATGCCTCGCAGTAGTTCAAGCCAGACGGGCAAGCAGAAATCTCGCCGCAAGATCTGGCTGAATTAATATGTTTATCAAAACTTTTTTATGTTTATTTTTTATTACCCGTCTGAAGATCTTCCTCGGCCTCTCGCCAATGGTCAAAGCCCATTTGGGGGTCCAAGTCGGAAGTTGACGGTGCTGCAATCGTGCCATGCATGTAGAGCTGACACGGGATGCGTGCCTGACCGGATCCCAGTACATCGAAGCTTTGGAGAAAACCAGTCTGGACGTCTGTCTTGCATGCTCAGAGCACGATCATGTGGAGGAAGGCCGCCCACATTCTTCAACCTGACATCACCTGGCTGGGTGGAATCACCGAGGTGTGGTGCCGTTGTTTGGCGAGCTGTAGTGGAAAGGAAAGCTGATGATCGGGCATTTCGCACCAATCAATCCATGTCGCTGGCTTTGAAAGTTGCCGTCAAGGCTCAAACTGTCTGTGAACAGAGCCCCCCCGGCTGCCCGGCCAGGAGGACCATGCCGAAACAGGCGCGCACATCATCATGATGATCATAACTGCCATCCTCACTTTTGCAATCATGAAAAGGAAGCCTGCCAGTCCTGTTGTAGTGGTACCGGTTCGACCTCCCTGCAACCGGAAAGGCTATAACCACGCGGATAAAGTCGCACACGCGGCTGACAGACTCCCTGGCCCGCAAGCTGGTTTTTGCACCGGTGGGCGATGGAGATTTGAAGATGATGCAAGTGGGTTGTTACTTTTCCGCCTCTTTCCTTTGTGTGGCGGGCTGCTGCAAATTCCAAGGATCAGTACCCCTGGGTGGAGGCATGGCGGGTCTTCCACATGAAACTCGTCCCACATGTCAGTCCTGCTAGAATGTATCCCAAGGCTTACTGTCAGCAAAGCATGCGGGATGGATGAACCCCACTCTCGTGCAGGTGGTCCTTAGACTACTCGGCGCGTGTGGAACAACTATTCTGTTCGGCATCCGCTTGGTCATCGCCGAGTTCCTGTTCGGCATCATGGAACCTTGCCGCAGTCTGGATGTTCAAGCTGCGCGGGTTGTCCTTGAGAGACGCTGCCCTCGTCCCGTTATCTGCTAGTGCGAGGCCTGGGCACCAGTGAGAGCCGCTGGGGCGCTGCTGGCGGCGGTGCCCTTGGTCTACACGGGACGGAGCAATGCTGGAGCCCCGATCCGTTCGCGGCGACACAGTAGAATAGCGCACTGATTCTGCTGCTTCGATGATCTTGCCGAGTTTCAAAACCTCATCAGCTGCAAAAGCACGGCAGAGGCGCGCTGCAAGTGAGAGGAAGACCCCTCAGTGGCACTGCAAATGAAAGCTTTCGACGTCCTAACCTGGGAGGCCCTGGTGGAGTTCTCCAAACTTCTGGGCATGAGCGGGCCTTTCATCTGGTCCCGGGCTCGGTTCGGATTTCCCGCTGCCCAGTCAGACCGGACTGTTTTTTTAGGGGGGACGCCTTGAGCCCGAGCCTTCCTTGCTGACCTGGAGCCGATTGGAATTTTCGAGCATCCGCCTTTCCTCCTGCAGAAGCTTTTTGAGGCTTTTGGGGTTCGTTGAGGTTCGCCCTTCGTTGTCTCGACTGGGAGCTCGGGGTGCGTGACTCGGCTGATACAAAACGTGGTGGCTGGCAGCCTGGAGGCCAGAAGCTCTTGCAGTTTTCGGATTCAATAGTAGAAGACAATATAGATGAAAACAGTTTAGTAGACTTTAGTATAATCTGATATCAAAGGCTCGCGGAAGTCACAGAAAATCCAACCTTGGTCCTGCGGAACCCCGCGACCTTGGGTAAGACGACGGCAGTGACATGTAGCCCAGGAGCAATGGTTGGTGCCCTTTCCTTCAACCTCCTAGTGCTGCTGGTGAGACTGGCTCTGAGCCAGAAAAACAGCAAAGCACCGGAGAAGGAGGAGAAGAAGCATCTCGGCCAAGTTCATTGGGCTATCCCAACACGTGGGTTAGCAGGCGCAAGGCTTCGTGACCTGCATTAAAACTTGTTACCCGCCTGTGTCGCACACTCTCGTTCAGGAAGTCTTCCAAGAAATCGTGAGAATGTCCACCAAGCCCACAGCTGCTTGGCATAAAGGTTTGGGGGCACATGTGCCAGCAGAGGACACAAAAACACGTGAAAGGCTTCCTTCAGACCGATCTGATCTGGAGTCACATTGGCTGATGTCTTGTTAGAGGCAGTGCCTGAGACCGTGCATAGCCGCCCAACCCCAATGTGTGCACAGTTGGTATGGGTGTCTCCAGTGCCGGAATGATGCAGAGCTATGTCTGTGTACATTTCCAGAGTTCCGAAAGGACCTAGGGCAGAAAGAAGCGAGCACAACAAGTTGACAGCAGGCTGTGTGTGCCGTGTGCTAGTGCACGATGTGTCCCTACAGCTCCAATCACCAATGGTGTGCCAAATGTATCATGTTGGGAAGTTCGGACGTACAGGGCGATCCAAGCTTCCATAAAGCCGTGGTGGGGCGCTAACCGCTAACCAACCTCTTTCGACGCACATGAACAACATTCCGCCGCAAGCCGTAGCAGCTTTGTCCGAAGAACTTGACCTTTTTTGGCCTTTCAGGCTTGACGCAGACGAGGTGTGGTCTGGGTTTCTCGGGCCTGCCGGAGCTGACTGAATACTGTCGGCAACGTGCTTCTGTCTCACGGAACTTTCACGCTTAGATTCCAAAGCATCGCTGGGGTCAGCCCATGGCCTGAAGAAGTAGGCTTCAAAGAAGGAGACAACAGAGCTGACGCAGCAGAGGCCGGCAGCAAAGCTGAGCTCCCTTGGCGAAGTCGGATGTGGGGGAATCTAAGCTGTGCAGCTCAGAGGCTCCTGAAAGGAGGAACCGCAAAGAAACGTCAGGAACTTGGGTTCTGAAGATTAGCCTTCGCCCTCCGCCGCTGAGTGCACGAACATGTCAGGACGCCTGTTGTCTAATGCTCTCCTAATTGGGAAGAGGCGCTTGAGAGCGCCTGGATGCTTCAAGAAGCCCTCTTAGCTCAGAAGTCGCAGCCATCGCAGAAGATCGCTTCTGGGGGCTTCTACTGGAAGCTCATATAGACTTGTGCCTCTCTTTCGGGCGGGTGCACTGAAAAGACTCGCCCCACGCTGCTCTGGTCGCTGCCACATCCACATTCTGCAAGTCTCCGTGCTTCTCACGTGTTGTCTCTGCCAGGCCCGCCGAGTAATGGCCCTGGCTGCATCGAGCGACATCTTGGTCGCAGCTTGGTCATGTCCCGTGTTGCACAAGTCAGGGATCCTGCGCGGCTCTAGTGCTTCCTGAAAAGGCCAGTAGGAGCCTTTCCCAGGACAAGCCGTAGCCAGGTGGAAGCAGGCTGTATTGGGTGAGGAAAGATGACAGGAAGAGCTTGCTGTATTTGTGTGCAGGGCGAATGAGCTCCGACTTGCGGACGCACAGTGCCCGTTACTTGCAGCTCCTGATGGTCTGAGGTACCACACGGCTCGTCCATCTACTCGTATCATCTCCAGCTCCTTGACGTTGCGCATGCTTGCGAGGGCAGTAAGACCCACTCTTTGCGAGTTGAAACGGGATCTTCAGGGCCTCAGGGTTCTCGTCTTGGCAACATGTTTCCAGCGTGGGTGCCGTGTGCTCCGAGTAAATGCTGTTAACTTGAACCAGGGGGTTGTAGCAGGAAGTTTTGTTTCAGGAACTGGCTCGAAGCTGTTTTCCAGAAACCAGGCCCGCTGTAGTAGTAGGAACTCGGGGGAGCCTTGTAGCAGCAATCCGGGGGGGGCTTGGGACAGGAACTGCCTCTATTGGTTAACCATCGTTTCGCAGCATAACACCATAAAAAAAACTAGGGCATACAGGGTTTGGAGTGTAGGGGGGAGGCTCTGGGAGGTGTGCGAACAGAGAACAAGTATGATACAGCATGAGTTTGAAGGGGGGGTGGATTCCTGGAGCTAGGGTTTAGGGAGAGGAGAGGCAGAGGAGAGGGAAGCGGAGAGGAAGAGGAAAGGGACAGGAAGGGATTTTGTCTTAGGGTTTCAGGGTTAGGGATTTAGGTTTTACGGTTGAGGTTTAAGGGTCTAAGGTTAGGGCTTCTGAAGTGTTGATAAGGCGAAGGGTTTCGAAAGGGCCTTCAAGGTTTGTAGCTTATAAATGGCTTCCGAGGGTTTCTTATACAGAAAGGGATGCTGTGGGGGCCATTTTTCCCACACAGAAATACGGGCTTGTAAACAGGGCTTTGAAGCGCTTTGCTTTACAGAGGAGTTTGAAGGACTCTCCAAGAGTAAACGCTGTAACTTAAAGCCACAACTCAACACCCCCGTTTGGCTTTCGTTGTCCTGCTAGTTTCCGTTGCAACTCCCACTGGTTACAGTAGCTAGCCCCAACCCAGTTCCAGTTACATGTCCCTGGTTCCCGTTATGTTGCGCGCTGGTTCCTGTTACAACCCTCACCCGTGTGCTCCTGCGGCTCTCCATTTCCGGCATGCCGTCGTCTTGCTTCCATGCACTGCAGGTTCGCATTCACGAACGCACCTTTGGGTCGCGGTCTTGGTGCAGACATGCTGTTTCGCGAAGTGTCTGCCTGGTCCTTCAGCATAAACTTGCATCATGGTTGCCTTGGGGCTTTTTAGGGGAGCCATGGTGCCGTGTTGCGTGCGGATCTAGTGGTCTTCGATGTTGGTTTGCAGGCAAGTGGGATGCATTCAGCAGTAGTTGTTGTTCAAAACCTCGCACTGCGAGGCGAGTTCATCAACTTGTCGCCAGACGGCACACAGGCAGCTCTCGCCGAATTCGGAAATCTATAGCCCTGCCCTAAACCTCCAAACCCCTAGCCTCCAAAACCTAAACCTTCAGCGCCGCGGGATTTCGGCTTTGACAGTTTAGTAAGAGTTGCTCGTAGGGTTTCAGGGCCTAACTCCCAGGCCCCAAAACCAAGCACACACCTCAGTCTCCTGGGCTTCCTCGGCCCTTTCACTGGAGCTCTAGAAAGGCTTCATCAAAGGCTTGGGCTGTTGAGGTCGTCAGAGTCCTTTCAAATTCAACAGCATAGGGCTTAATTTGCATCGGAAGCAACACGCAGGACTCAGAACCGCCAGTGCAACCAGCAGCAGCAGCGGCGAAAACACGGACGGCAAAAGCAGCAACAAAAAAGCGGTTTGACAGCAGTAGCACTGGTGTGAATCATAGCGTGAGCGATCCCTAACTTCAAGCTTGCTACAAGGGTTCTGAAAACTTGCAACGATCGACTGGGGACCGTGCTAGAGACTGAGACAGGGTGTTCGGAACACTCAGATGTCAGTTTCAAGTGCACGCCGCTGATCCCTTCGTCGTGCCAGATCCAACCGTACTTCGGGGGCCTTTTCGAGGACGAGCCTTTGCCGAAGGAGCCCGAGACAAGTGAATGCAGAATCCCTTGCCCCCAGTAGCCAGCTCAAGGCGCAAGCATGCAGACATGCATGCATGCATACCCATGATGTGCACATTGTCATCTCAGCAACCTCGACGACTCGACGCCTACAGTACATTCCTTCAACCACGGGCGGTTCGGATGATGTGCGAGTATGTGTCGGATCGCAGGAGCTTGTAGATGTCCTAGCCTGACTCCTTTCTTCTGTTGCGCGTTTCATCCAGAGGTTGATTAACAATCGGTGCTCCTCTCTTGTCTATGGACTAGAGTCAGTAGAGGCAAGGAGGGCAGGGACCAGATACGTATATGCATGTGTTCATATCTTATACATATCTGTGTCTGTATGTGTATATGTAGGTACATATGTAGATGTATATGCGTCTGTAACCGTCTGTGTGTGTGTGTATGTGTATGTATGTGCATGTGTATATGTACGTGTACATGTATATACACATATGCATATATGCATGCATATATATATATATGAATGAATATGAATATATATATATATATGTACGTA